CTCCATACTTGCATGTGCAACTTCCTTTGGTAGTTGCTACTAGACAAATACCATGGAAGAAGAATGAAGAGGTAAATTCTGACCGGATGAAGTGAATTTCCCGGACTGAGAATACCTCCTCCTTGAGACTGGTCACTGTGACGAGGTCACCTGTGATGAGTCAATTGAAGAGGTGATTTCTGACCGGCTGAGGTGAGTCCTCCGGATTGAGGGAAGTTCCTATCTCGGATGAGTCACTGCGGCGAAGTCACCTGCTAAGGTTACAAGAGGCGCTGAATCCCCCGGTGTAACTCCGAAACTTAAGTTAGTTTGGTATTTTAAAGAGCAATATGCTGGAGAGCAATATGGCTAATGTTACCAGAAAATGGTCCTCCCCCTTTTGATCGATACTCTGGGTATTTATAGGGGATTGGTTGGAGAGAGGGACTGACATCGCGAGTCCCTAAGGATCTGGGCTGACCGGCGTATTAGACGGATTTGACTGGTCTCTGTGAAAGGCCTGAGGCGACAGGTGCCAGGTTCAGATGGCGCGTGTCAGAGCGGCTGTCCATCAGATGCCAAGCGTGTCAGATGTGTCAGTGTCATTTCCTACCTTTCGCAGTTGTGTCAGTCAGGCGTCACCTCGGCTAACGACCTGAGGACAATAGCCGAGGTGGTAAAACGGACAGATACCACCTTGATTTATAATGGGCGCGGTGGCCCTTCGGGAGGTGCCACTGAGGAAGGCCTGCCACTGAGTAAGGCCGCCTGCAGGAGGCGCCACTGAGTAAGGCCGAGGTGGCCCTGCAGGAGGTGCCCTTCGGGAGGTACCGCTGAGTAAGGCCTAAGTGGCCCTGCGGGAGGTGCCACTGAGTAAGGCCGAGGTGGCCCTTCGGAGGTGTCACTGAGGAAAGCCTGCCACTGAGTAAGGCCGAGGTGGCCCTGCAGGAGGCGCCACTGAGTAAGGCCGAGGTGGCCCTTCGGGAGATGTCACTGAGGAAGGCCTGCCACTGAGTAAGGCCGAGGTGGCCCTGCAGGAGGCGCCACTGAGTAAAGCCGAGGTGACCCTTCGGGAGGTACCGCTGAGTAAGGCCTAAGTGGCCCTGCGGGAGGTGCCACTGATTAAGGCCTGCCACTGAGTAAGGCCGAGGTGGCCCTGCAGGAGGCGCCACTGAGTAAGGCCTAAGTGGCCCTGCGGGAGGTACCACTGAGTAGGCCTAGGACTGTCCGGGCCGAAATGACCATTCTCACTAAGCCCCCCAAGCTTCGAGAAGGACGAGATCGGTATTTGCCGAGGTCGCTACTTCCCGGGCTTAGAAGTTGGGGACCCCTGCCCTTCTGCAATATCTTCTGCAATAATTCATAGTGAGAGCTTTCCTGCTCTTAGAACGCGTAGGTTTCATATCCTAATGTCTTCGCATTCCCACAGACGGCGCCAATTGGTCATTTCGGCCCGGGCAGTCCTAGGCCTTACTCAAAGAACATTTTCTTCACCGCTTTATCAATAGAAAACAAAAAAAAAAAAACCCATCATGGGGTTTTTGGATTTTGGATCCAGGACAGAAATTTACACCAAGACGAAGACATTCTTTGAGTCGAGACGTCCAGATCTTGCCATCTGCTTCCCCTAACAAAAGCCTATTTTGTAACGTCTGCTTCCCCATCATTTGTTTGGATTGGCCTTTATTTCCCCAAATATATTTGCTTACATCATCATTACAATTTCCAACACACCTTTTTACCTTTCCAATTATCTTTTTATCTCACATACATCACATCACAAAAAGTGTTACAGTAAAAATATCTCAAATAACTTACAATCCAAACAAATCCATGGTCAGACATGTCATGACTCGTGAAGTAAATTACTGGGTTGCAAAGCAAATGTTTTAATCATCTATTGGTCAATCGAACTTCATTTCAGCCAAATGGATAAACAATTTACAGTATGGAACTTAGAGAGATGATTCCCTGAATTAAAAAAAAAGGCTTAATTTCATTTAAGTCCTCTAAAACAGTTCAAAATCTAAGAGTGTGTTTGGATTGCATTTTTCATGGATTTTTCAATTGGAAAATTACTGTACGATTTAATGTATGTGAGGTAAAAAAGATAATAGGAAAATGTGTTCACGAAAAAACAAGACGCATTTTTTAGTGGAAAATGACTATCCAAACAAGTCCTAATTTTACTACGTCAATCCAAGCCTCCCACAGTAGCACTAAAAGCAGCAATCTAGTCATTTTCACCTTAAAAGAAATTGTTGTTTTTTTTTTTAAGGAAGAAACTTGTTTCAACTTGGAAAATCAAACACTCTTTCGTTGTAATCAATAAATTTTAGTTGCCAAATATGAAAGAAGGGATATAACCGAAAAAGCAGAATATCAAGAAAAGTCATTTATACGTTACTAAATATGAATGGATTTGACAGAAAAAAGGAGAAAATTAAGCATAGCGTATAGGTCCTTCCAATTGTAACTTGTGTAAGTGCTTTTTCTAGTTTTCTGTGACTTGAAACCAGACCAACTTAAGTAGTTTCATCAATTAGAAAAGCGTGCATTTAGGTGAAATCATTAAAATTGTGCACCTTTATCATTATATCACTAAGGCAGGGAAACTTATATCCCTGTTGATTTCCTCATTTTATGGTTACGTCATTCTATAGTTACTTGACAATTATTGACTTATATTAAAAAAATTATTTAAGACCAATTTGGAAAAGCTTTCCAATTCAAAGGACGAAATTATTTAAGACCATCTGATGCTCTTATGAAAGCATGCAAAAGCTTTTGGATCGATGAATTATTTCATCTAAATATATTTTCTAATTCATTTTTTTTTATCTCATATACATCGCAACACAAAAAGTGTTACAGTAATTATTCCAAATAATATTTCAAATAATACTCTATCCAAACACAATAAATATTTTTAGAACTACGTAAATAATTTTATTGAACAAATTATACTACAAATTTGAGAGATTATAATTTGTTTACAAGATTCATTGTAGAGGTTATGATCTTATATTTAAAAAAAAAAGATTTTGTTTGATATGAAATATGTATTTAAAAAAAGGCACTACTTATTTCAAATTTCCATTGATTTTGAATTCTTTTGACTTTTTCCTTTTTTTTGTATTATCTTTGCATGTTTATTTCTTGGCTAGAGACTTTATTTGGGAAATTTTTTTTTTTGAGTTTTAGACAAATACGTAAAATACAAAATTAAATTAATATAAATCATTTTAAATAATAAATGATGAGCGAGACGAAACGAATAACCGGTGATCCAACCCTCTATTAGTAGGTATCTAATCTAATAACCGAATACCTGCTAATATATAAGGATCCAAGGATAGAAAATGACTAATGCGCGAAGTATAAGACGAATCAACCAAATGATGCACAATGCGAGTATCCAATTCGTGCCCACCCCTAAATTTACCGATACAATAACAATGAAAAACCAGACACGTCTTCGGCTGTTACTTTGATTTAAGCTTAAACAAGTGCACAATCACAAAAGACACATTAATCTTCCGAAAACAAAAGAAAAGGTGGTGAAGTTGGGGCAAGTTCCTCCATCACGCCGTGGCGGAGCCAATAATGGGACCAGGGGCAATCAACCCCAAATTCCAAAATCTTTCTTTTAGCCCTGAAAAAATTTTGAAAATTTTAAGCAAAAGTCCTTTGGCCAGATCAAGATTTTACCAAAATTTTATTGCCCCCGCCCTACCTAGCTTCTCCTTTTAGACAAAATTGAGCTCTTACTCATCTTTCAATATTTTTGACCTAGCTTCATATATATGTATGACATGTACTACCTAATTCTGAATGGTGTACATAACTACAGAGAGAGCCATTTCATGACAAGAATCAAATATCTTCTCCACTAATCCAAGGGTGAAAATGTATCTTTGTAGCATTTGAGGAATCAAAATATGCCGCATACACACTTTGCTTCACAAAATTATGCACCCTAACATCAAAGATACACAGAACTGTGTTGGCACTGCTCACACTTTTCCTCATGAATGAGCTCATGCCAATCATTACATCCAACCTATATAACAGGTTAACCCCTAAGCCATATACATTAGATGACCAAAATAAAGGGCAAAATTATCTGAATTTTCCTATCAATGTATAATACCTTAAGAGAGCTTTCCCAATTCCCATGTACTGTCACACGCCACGCTTGTCCCATACCAACTCGCCAATTATGAAACTTTCTATTTGTCAGCAATCACTTGAAAAAGTGTTTTGCCATGACCGTTATTGCAATCTCTTTGCATGTCATTACCATCTCATTCTGCAAAAGAAAGCAAAAGAAAACTAAATGCGGTAGCCAAACTAACAATCATATAGGGTATTCGAAGTTTATCAACAACAATTAAGCGATAAATGGGGTTTAATGAATAAAAGTTACCAAACAAACTTAATCAATTCATATCTTATGTTAACAAACCTTTTCCTTCCAATCAAGTTGCGTACTTTATTCTGTACACAAACTAACACAGTTTAACATTTTAAGTAAGACGTGCACTTGCATGAGTCCATCATCTTTGTTTTTATTAGTTAAGGGGGAGGATCGATCTCTTATCAAATGCAAAATGACTAACTATGATTGTGCATGTCACCATGTTCTCGCATTTGTTACTGCCCTACTTGAATGAATTGCATCATTCACTGTTTGCATGCTTGGCCATAAGAAAGTCAAGGAGCCAACTCAAATGTGAAGGTGTAGGAACATATTATTCCCAAATACGAGAACATTTTTCTGTATAATTGATTGGCATTAAAAAAATGAGAGAGATTGAAAATGTAAAGCCAGGGGGACAAAATTGCATAAATTTTCTCCAGCGAGAAGCACAAAGTGCATAAATTCCAAGACTAAAATAGTTGGAAGATATATATAGCATTTAAGCTTCGTGCATCAACTATAGATTAACAACAGTAAAAGATCCTCCACTTGAAGCCTCACCAAAAATAGGTGTATAAATGCTTTTTTCCCAGGGCAATCCCTATATTTTGATAATGACTATTTTAAAAAAACTTTTAATCGTAATATGTTTCACACACTCAGACATCCCTACATAGAGAAGACCCATCAGATCACAAAAACAGGTAGGTAGCAAGCAAATTCACCTTGAGTGTCTCTCCTATGGAGAAGCAGAGTCCATATATTACAGGCTTTATTTGTCCCATCACAACAATCTTTGTTTGGGTGACACTTCATTTAGCACTAATAATGGGAGGAAAACAAACACTAGTTCTAATCCTTCCAAGATTACTAAATAAGAAGCAAATTTGGATCATCCACCCGGTAAAGGCATATTTGTTACCTACTAGCTTGATTCAGATATGCCAACATTTCATTTAAGGGTATGAGGGTTAAGACCAAGAAAATGCAAAAAATCAACATAAAATTTTTGCTTCTTTAACGAGAAATCTAAGCACTGTGACTACGTATGCAATTCAAAAAATCACTAAACACTTGAATCAGACGACGACGACAAAAACCATTCAAATAGGCTAACAAAATACAACTGTATAAAAAGTGCAGAACTACAGTATTGAGATGCAAAGGCAAGATAATGAATATACCCTTCTAGTGAGGCCTTGAGCTGACATGAACTCATAGAACTTGCGCATCAGCATTTCTTCCTCTACCTACAATGAACATCATCATTTAGCATCTCAAATTATTTTCAAACCAGGGAGCTAAATCAGCATTCCACTAGCAAATTAAAATTTTAGTGAAATAACATAAGTAGAAATAATTTTGAAGATGATAGATCCAATTCATGTTTGAGCTGTAATGGTCCATACATTTCGGAGGAAGCGTGTATGAGATCTTTCATGGACCAATTTAACTATGGTCCATGGTCACAATCGTTCTTTGCTCTTTTCCTTCCTCCCCCGCCCCACCCCGGCCCATGCTCATCCAAGCCAAGGGGGCATGGCTGAGGTAATAGCAATCCAAATATTATACTAAAAGGCATAAAAATCCACATATACAACATAGATATCCTTCATTTTAGAAGCCTTCCCTTCTTTATTTGATAAATACAGCTATTGCGCTAACCCTTCTTAATTTAATTAATTCAGACCCTGTCTAAGAAGGAAAAAGGACATAGAAAAGATTCCTACAGTAGTCATCAAAAAGTTTGAAAACTCTCGTGCATTAACATAAGAAACCCAAAACGGAGATCAAGATGAAAAAGGTAGACCTGGAGTTTATGCAGTTCATGCAGCATTGACCTGTGGGCATCAGCAAGGAGCTCATTCTGCTTATCCAAATGCCTACAGAAAAATTGAATTAGACAGTATATCATTGAGCCAATAAACCTGTGCAACACAAACTCTAATAACAAGGAGAGACAACTTTTTATTAGTTTGTGAGTGATTTAGTATGCTTTGTGATAAAAAACCATCAAGCTTTTAGCAGGAATTACCTTAGCATTTCTCCAGCATATCTAGAGTCCATTCCCTTAAAATATTCAATTGAGAGGTGTATGGATTTGCACAAACCTCACTAGCTCCAAGGAGAAACCTGAATGTTCAAAAGAGAATCTTAGTTTAAAAGATTTAACAAGCTTTCAATAGAGAAATGAAATGCAAAACCAAATGTACGAAAAGTTGTCAAGTATTCCAGTGACAGAAAAGTTCTATAGCCTCTATTGACAGCGGGGAATGAGAAGCAACTTCAAGCTTCCATCATCCACAAATGACCATATCAAGACAGGGAAATCTTTGTAAAAATCAATAGGACTAAGACTAAACCCTAATTGCTTATCCAGCCCCACAGATAGATTCAAGATACATCATTCAAATTTGAATCATATGTGTAATGCTTGAGCCTAAAGACTGACCTTTGCAATGATCATTACTGTGTCAGAATCAGCAGATGGTTGTCCCGGACATAAGCCCAAAACAAAGTTTTGACCACAAAAGGACATTAGTGGACTAGTAGAGGGGAGACCATCCAACCACTAAAATTGTAGGTTCAAGGCAGCCTACACAAAACATAAGTCTAATGATATTCTGTCACAACTTAATAAAATACTGGAAGGAAGCTTTACCCCTACACATTCACCATGAGCAAAGTTCATTCTACTTAGTTCTTTTCCCACATTTGATTGCCAAGGACGAACACTCAATTATCTGGACAAACGATTTATCCACCTTTTAAACATTAAAGCATCCGATTCTCTTTCTGGTAAACTTTTTTCTTTCTTTTTCTATTTTCCTTACAGATGTAAGTGCCACAAGGCTCAATATTGACTCGAACCTTATCCTAACTGCAAGGTTCCATATTGTCCTACAAGAATAGCTAGCACCAAATGAATTAGTAGATGTAGTAAAGGAAAACACTTAACTTAGGTGGGCAGAAATTGGTTTAAGAGGAAGACTTGGCAACTGCCCTCTCAGAAAGGCTTGCTAACATGTCTTTGAAGATTTTTCCAAACAATTGCTTGAGAAAAGGAGAGATCACATCAGAACAAGTCAAAGCATCAAGAGATCGAACCACACCTTTTCGAACAAGAAAAGTGAAAGCTGAAGATATCCCTTTGACAATTACATCTTTTCTTTCAATGTCATAGTTTTCCACCAGCATCAAGAGAAATTCTAGAAGAGTATGAGTTATGTCAACATAACTAGGAATGGAATGTATCATTAGCAATATCCCAGGCTCAATGTTCATTATATTATCTACCTTCTCATCAAAGAAAAGCCAATCATAGAATAAGGCAAGCTTAACATTTGCTTCGACATAATTCCTCTGGGAAGATTTTAGCAACCAGCCTATGACAGCCCACCTCGGGATGATGTCTGACTGGATAATCTCATTAGGTGGATGATGTCCGCAGCAAATAAACCTAACAATGTCAGTTAGAAGAGTCTCCCTCTCAGGGACACCAAGAAACTTCTTTGCAAACCAAACTTGGTACCTCTTTTGATTTCCCAATTTAACATGCGTTAGCAAGAACCTCAACTGGTTCTCCATCTCAGGAGTTATCCGCAGCAGAAAATACCTACTGGAAGTCCTTGAAAGGTAGAGCTGTGAGATATCTAAAAATGCAGCATTCTGAAACACACTAGGGTTCAATAACAAGTCTTTCCAAATTGAGCGAAACTCAGGTACATGAACCAAGTCCTGTAAAATCCGAACAAGATCTCTTCCAATCTTCAAACACAAACCAAATTTCTCCCTTAACATCCTAATGCAAAAATCAATTTCAAACCTCTTCAAGGTTTCAACTTTTGAGTCATTTGGCAACCTACAATGATCAGCCAATAAACGAAGAAACACATATAAAGCACTGGTCAAAACTAGAGGTTCATCCTCCAACAAACAATCCCATTTGTCCCTAAAGAGACTAATCATCTCAAAACACAACCACAAATTTCCTTCGCTAAAGTCACCACCAACAATTTGCCTCAAAAGGGCCACCAATAAACCATCAAATCCTACTCCCAACACATTCACCATTTCACGCGTCACCCAAATCAACTGAGTTTTCACCGAATCAACGAGTTTGGCATACAACTCATTAACAATCTTGATAAGCATGGATATAAAATAAGTGTAGCCATCAGTGACAATAGCATGTAAGTGCTTAATGTGGACTCTGGCCATTTGGGGTTCACATAAAATTCCACAAAGAATTGCTTTGTTCAGGTTGAAGTACTCTTCTTGAGTTTGAAGTTTTAAAGGAAAAGGGGTCTGAGTTGGGGCTCCAGAAGCTTTTCAGCTTCTCTAAGAGAGACTTCAAGTGAGTTGTCAGCTTCAAAGATTGCATTTTTAGTCAGTTTGGAATGCATATTTCGATCAATCAATGAAACTAACAGTCCTAATTAAGGACCAGAATACTGGAAATTGTTGACCTGATCAGAAGGACCGTCGCATCAGCAGCAGCAGAACCCTAGCAGTGGAATGTTCGGATGGTGGCAATTTGGCGGGTCTCCTGCTCTGCCAAAACTTCGCGATGGGTTAATTACACTGAACCCCTTTAAAATATGACGGTCTCAGAAGTGCTTCCCTGTAGTTTTGAAAATTAGAGTTAGCTCCCCCATCATCAGAATGGGCATTTCTCGTATCCCAAAATCATGAGCCACCTTCCGCGTTTGGATTGGTCATTTTTTAAAAAACTAGAAATTTTCTGGCTGTGCAATGCCCAATTTGTTGTGTAAAAAATATTGAAAAATTCCCCATAACTCCCATTTTTAAAATTAATAGAACATGGAATATTTAATTGTCGTCATGTTGAGAAACCATGTCCATGTGCAAACTATTATAGCAGTAGGGTAATTAAAGCAATGTCCATGTCCATGTGCAAAACCAGAGAAACTAATATAACAAGGAAGCTGCAAAATAATTGAAGACTCAGGTATGTTAAAAGTCTTTGTCCCCCAAGTTAGGATCCGTCCATGAACAATCCCCTTTCAATGAACCAAGGTATGGAACTCAGAAGAGCTTATCTGTGCCAGGAATTAATCAGTGTATGACCAGTTCCTAAAACCAAAATTTAAGCAGAAACCAAATTATATCAAACAAATCATGATTTGTGTGCAGATTCTACTCGTTGAGCCCCAAAACATGTGGAAAATTAGAACCAAGACAGTAGAAGCTGGGGAAATACTCTATAACTGGTCTTTGGTCCTAACTATGATAGTCACTAACATGACAATGCAGTAAAAGTCAAAAACAATCGATGAAATTAATGTTTCTAGGTCTATCAAAGTATTGTTTCCAATGGAATTTAAAGATAGTTCGAGCCATTGCAAGACATTAAAGGATCATTCAGCATACAAACACAAAGGCAAAAGTAAAATCATTTTTTATTAGGACCAAACAGTAAGCTAAAGAACATCTCTCAAATCATTTAATACTCCATAACAATGGGACACGTAAATTTTCAGAAAACTTAACCAGTATAGTGGTAAAGCTACCTTTAGAAGCAAATCATCAAACACAAAGCATGCTACTATTGTAAAAGATGATCACACACCTTAAACACTGGATGTTTACTTTGCTGTGCTTCTTCTTGATTCTTTCAAACTTACAAAACAATCAATAATAAAAAAAGCAAACATTTCTGCTAGGAGGTCAATTTGGGAAAAAAAAAGGCTAGAAAAACTCAACAATAAATTCATCAAATGGCTGAAAATTGATGCGAAAGTGTGAGTTTTTCTTCGTGTTTTTGGCTAGGAAGGCAAATAGGGGTGGGGAGGGGAGATGTATAGTGCTTTCCCCTCTTTGATTCTCTCCTTTTTCTGGGCAAAAAAAGAATTGCATGGTTGGGAGATGAGATAGTGTACATAGAAGGTAAATTTTAAGGCCAAGCATAAATTGGGGTGGAAAATCACTAATTTTTTGGCCAATAAGAATGTTTTTTAAAATATACTTTATTAATATTTCGATGCCTTAAAATACCACATAAAACCAGTAAAGCGCAGCTATATCTTCTTAAGAAGCATAAGCAAAAACTTATCATAAGAGTAAATAGCCAAACATATAGGCACATAACACTAATATTAAAATATTTAAAATATCAGCCCATATAATATTAACAAAAATTTCAGCAAATTAATGATACAAATCAGAGGTAAACTAACCTGGTATGAACAGAAATTTTACTGCAGAACCTTTTCTATTTTCGGACCAAAACTGAAAATTACAAAAAAAAAAAATTACTGATCAGTATATATGTCCGTGGTGCAAAAAAATAAAAAAAAAAGAATGGCAAGAAATGTATTTACCAGGATGCAAAGGAACAAAAGGCACCAAACCACTTGCGAGGACTTTCCACTTTCCAAAAAAAGCTGAAAATACCAAAAAAAAAAAAGACTAATTGTGTAGCATTCGTGTGTCTGCTATGCGAAGAGGAAAAAGGCAAACAAGTTTTAAATTTTTCTTTACCATAGAGGAATACACCAAAAGGCAAGAAACCTCTCTATTTTTCTTTTCACCTATGAGAAAATGAAATAAGATGTATATCCTATAAAGCCTCTAACCTCAAGTGCCCTTTTCTGTTCCTCCGGTTTTTAATACTGATTCTACTTCCCTCTTACTAAGCAGCCATCAAATACAAGCCGAGAGAGTAAAATTTAGAGTCAGAAATTGTTGACAAAGATCAGAAGGTTGAGAAATAAGGGTTCATACGGGCTTAGTGAATCAGACGAGGGACCATTTTTTGAACAAAAAAATCCCTGAATTTTAGGGTAAAAGTGTACACCTAATCTATGGAAAAATTTGTGGTTTCATGTCTGCAAGTACAAATACCTGATAAAAGGAAAAAATCTACAGTGAAAATAAGAAAGAAATTGCAGTGATTGTCAAGCATAAAAAAGGAAGAGAAAGGAAAGAAGAAACAAAGAAGCCAGAGAAAGAAGAGACGGGAGACTTACCCAAAAAAGAGGAGAGACGGGAGAAGGAAGATAACAATCATCAGTTCGTGCAAACTCTCCAGGTAAGGAAAACAATCAATCCTTTAATCATCATTAGGAATGATCGAACGGTTCTCAGGTATCAATCTTAGATTAAGACACGATCCAACGGCAAAAAGTTGCCAGAAAAATCTTTATTACCCTAACAAATGCAACTAAGGGGGAGATATGGTTCGAAATTACAATAGTACCCCCAGCAGTTAGAAACTATTATGACCTCCTTTTATCCTTGAAGGGCTTAGTGGACATTTAACACTTGGGCAGACAAAAATGCCCATGAATAGTAGAGCACTATTTGCCAAAGTAATCAAAACTCAAGGGCTTAGTTGACATTCGCCACAATTTCAACACAAATTTTTTAAAATCCCCCAGTCTCCTTCGAACATGTGGCACAATGTGGTGCAAAGTCTTGTGTTTTTATATATATGTAAGATATTTATTCAAGAGAGACGTGAATTTTCATTAAATCATCAAATCGGTTTGTCTATGTCTCGTTGGGTCTCTCTTTCGAACATGTGGCACAATGTGGTGCAAAGTCTTGTGTTTTTATATATATGTAAGATATTTATTCAAGAGAGACGTGAATTTTCATTAAATCATCAAATCGGTTTGTCTATGTCTCGTTGGGTCTCTCTTTCCACAGTGTAGGCTAGAGTAGGAATATAAGTAGGAATAGGAATACGAGTAGGTTAGGCTAACTATTACCGTCTAACAAAAAAATCAAGGAACTTACCTACTGAACCTATTTCATTTTTCTCTTTTAAAAATTTTACAACATTTCATTTTTAAAAAATTTTACAACTACTCATCAATAGCTGAGTATTACTCCCAAGCATTATAGTTGTTAAAATAACGATTCAAATAGTAAGATTGTACAACCTTACAATCTAGACCATGGCTATCAATTCGAGTCATTACTAGTATTGAAATTTTACCTTAAACAAGTAAAATTGGTAAAATCTTGATTTCGATCGTATGATTGTAAGCTCCTATGATCCTGATATGCTCATATTATTTAAAAATATTGCGATAAAAGTTTTAGTATTTTGACCATAAATTTGTGTAAAAAAAATTGGAATTGAATGCCATTTATCGTGTTGGAAACAATATTTGAAGGGTTTTAAGTTCATGTAAATCTTTCATACTAATTCCTTACCCACAAAAATTGGCAAACCTTTAAAATTGACCCATGTATTTCATTAGATTAAGAAGATAACATTTCATAGATTATCATTTAGGGCTATTGTCTGGGGCTTTTATTGTGGTAAATTAGCATGATGAAGAGTCTTTGGAACTGAATTGATTATTTTTGTTACAACTAGGTAAGTAAATTTTGAACCCAAAATACATGTTGTGTCATAAATTTCTATTCTCATAATTTTCTTCAATTATTTGTTTATTTCTAATTTTTAAGTCAAAGACATACTTGAAATATTTTATTATATATACAATATTTAGATATCCTATTATATACAATAAATGATGTTGTCATCGATAAATATTATCTTATTAATAAAATACTTAAATGATGTTTAATTATCTTATTAATAAAATACTTAAATGATTTATATACATATAAAGTCAAATTTTCCAACTGCCTTGTCCATCAATTATGTTTGGGTTTAAAAATTAGAAAAACAAGATTTTTAGTTTGATCACGGGCAATACAATACGTTACATATATTCCCAAAATTTTTGTTTTGATTTTAGACTACCCCAAATGTTTTAGATAGCACAATTTTAACTTTAATTGATATTATTATATTGATTGCACATGAGTTACATTATTTATTGCTCTATATGCGAATTGCAAACCTTAGATTATTATTATGAGTACTCTTATGTTTTGTGTAGGATCTATTATTGATTTTATGATCGATTCTGCAAACACAGAAACAATTTTAGATAGGATTCCAATTTTGAAAACCTTGCTCCCAAGTATCGCAATAGAAGTCGACGGAATATCAGTGCTTTCCACAGAAATGCTCTTCTAACTTGCTACTAGACCAGAAACTCAGTTCATTTGCGATACCCAACCCCTCCCTCCAACCCACACAATCATGCGCAAGCTGCTGCAACTATTACGATCAGTAAGCAAGAAATATTAGCATTACAAACAAAAGACCTACATCTCCTAGTCGTCACAGCAGCTAGCCACAGGCAAATGAAATGCGATAACCCCAATAATTCTTTGATTTATTGGCCAGCCCAAAAGCTTTGATTTAACGAATATTGATTCGAAACTCAAAAGCCTAGAACCAGAAACAGAGACAGACCCGTTCCCT